GCAGAAAACTCAAGTTGTTTCTTTCTATGCCCGCGGGTAACACTATGGCCCCGTGAATCTTTTGGCAGAAAATTATCTCGGGAACCATGAAAGCTAGAAAGCTGAAATTTCAGGACGATATTTTCTGCCGCTGCAGGTATTTCACTGGCTCAATTTTAGCTCCCAAGTGTACAGAGGTATTGCGTAAGACCAACTGAGAATTTTGCTGTGAAAGTCGTTAACTCGAAAGCCGGAAAACTAGAAGTTTGAAATTTGAGAGGATGTTCCTCATTCATGTTTTCAAATTCAGCTTCCACGTACCGGCATGTGAAATTTTCAGTGGGAATTCCTCACCTTAGGAGCCAAGCAGCATATCCGCTATTTTTCCATACACAAAAATGTAAAACAATTATATTTTAAGCAAACGTTCGCTGGGCGGACGGCTACCCTGGTGCGCTTCGTTATTTATTTGATAATGACCCAGCTGTTCAGTGAGCAGTTTTCCCATCCAAAAATATATGTAACCGTACACGAGGGCCACGCATACCCGGAGGCTGAATTTGAAACCTTTAACTTGCATTTGGACGGGTAATATTCTCCTAAAATTTAATCTTTCCGGTTTTCCTGGTTCCCGAGTATGCCATTTTCCTGAAAAAAAAATTTTACGGGGTCGTACGCGAGGACCGCGCATGCTTAGGAGCTGGATTTGATAACTTGAAGTTCTGCATGGGTTGTGAACATCCCTTTAAAATTTCAACCCCCCCAGTTTTCTTAGTTCCCGAGTTAGCCGTTTCCTCCTCAAAAAATTTCGCGAGGACGTACGCATGCCTGGGGTCTGAATCTGACAACTAAGTTGTACATGAGCTAGGAACATCCCCTTGAAATTTCAGCCTCCTAGCTCTCCTGATTTCCAAGCTAACGATTTTTCACGCCAGGAACCCTGATGGGGCGATATGCGGGAATCACACACGCCGGGGGTTGAATTTGAAATCTTTGAGTTCTATGTGGGCGGAGAACATAACCTCAAAATCTCAGCCTTCTAGCTTTTTTCGTTCTCGAGTTAGTAATTCTACCGCCAAAATTTTCACCTTCTTACGCGGAGCCCAGACTTGTGTGAGGATTGGTATCGCGTTCCTGGGGTGACACTTGGTCGAGGAACCCACTGGCTAAATTTTGGCGTCGGAGCTTTACTGGTTACTGAGTTGAAATACCCGGACGAACGCACGCACGCACACACACACACACACACACACACGCACACAAACATACACAACAGACAGGGTCGTCGCATTATGCATTTTTGCAATTTGCACATAAGCAAAAATGCATTTAAAAAATTGTTCATTTTTATGCGTTTTTGCATATATATAAATTGGAACCCAGGCTGAAACGCACCAGGCAAGCCGGTGCGATCATGCGTTTTTGCATCAAACTTTGAGGTACTCCATCAAATT